TCACGTCATTGGCTCCCTATACAGGCAGGCATTGATTACGAGCTGTCTGCTCTCTGTCCCAACTTTTTGGTTCCTGCTCTTCCGTCTGTTCACCCCTTCGAAAGCTTCGTTCCTCCGCAGGCCCGCGTATTATTTCTGTTCCGAGAACGCGCACTAAAACATACGGTGAACGATCTTTCTCTGTCTGTGCCCCAAAACAATGGGATTCTCTCCTATTACACACCCACAGTATAATGACCATCAGAGTCTTCAAAACTGCCCTCAAGACCCATCTCTTCGAACTGTACTATACCGACTCATTATTACCCCTTTTGAATGATAAAAAACGCTCGATTCTACTGGGTGCTGTCCATGGCTAGACAGCGAAAGATAGTACTTATGTTGGTGAGGTCAAGCTTTTCACAAATTGTTGTTTTTAAATGTATACGTTTCTGTAATTGCTATTTTTTTTTATATGAAGCGCAGTGAACCTAGCCCTAGGCTGGGGTACTGCGCTATATAAAATCACATAATGATAATACTATCTTTTTACACCGACGCGACGGCCGTTACACGCAACGGAAAATAAAATAATTAACTTTGTCCATGGTTTGACACATGATCGAGCTTTGACTAATTGCCAACCCAGGGAGAACTCCCCAGTTTGCACCCCAACCCGCAAAGTGTCAGTATTATCAGTAGAGCATTGCTGCTAATAATTATACTTATTTTAAATTTCAACCGATCATTGTTTTGCGTATAGGAAAATAATTTTAACTCTAAGTATAAAGTTTCAAATTAGCGACTCAACAAACCCCACACTGAGTATGAAGTCGATGATATTAGGACATTTATTAAATTTAAAACAAAATGAAATAGACAGATTTGTGGGGCAGGTATGCGGGATTAGTGTCTTCACTAGGGGTGGTGTCACACCGTGAGATAAACGCATGGTGTCACCCTCTCAATACTTTCCTGTGGACCTCCTCCGAATCTGCTTTCTCTGGTGGCACCCTGTTCTGGTGGCACCCTATTCTCATGGTACCCAGTTATGGTGGCGCCCTGTTCTGGTGGCACCCTGTTCTAGTAGCACCCTATTCTGATGGTACCTAGTTATGGTGGATCCCTGTTGTGGTGGCACCCTGTTCTAGTGGCACCATGTACTGATGGCACCCTATTCTGATGGTAACCAGTTATGTTGGCGCCCTGTTAGTCTGTTAGCTTTGCATTTTTTTCCGTGTTGGTGTCACCATCTTTGTTTTTTAAACTTGGTGTAGTTCACGCCATAGGCGACGGCTCTGCATTCGATTACTATGGTATTTTTTTTTTTTTTAATTTAATAAATTGTGACACTCTCCGGGCATTACAAACTCTTTCTATGGAATTGATGTTGTGGAAACACACCAGATGCACTGTTGGCACTCTTTTCTGGTGGCACCCTGCTCTTGTATTTAACTGCGACTACGATCTATTAAAATGTCCAATTTGCTATTTTTCATTCGGAGATTCTTCACACCCCCTTGTGACACCACTATACTTAGGTAGCCCTGGACTTATAGGTAGGCATATTCCCATACAAGAACTTGGCGGACAATGAGTTGCTTTGAAGGTAAGGACTTATTAGCCTACGTGTGTTCCTTGTTTTAAAGGTATATATCTAGCGTTAATAATATATTTTAATATAAATTATGTAATAGTAATTAAAGTCCGGCATTACAGTGATCTCCCAAAAAACTGTTGATGGTGCTATCGCATTGGGGTGGTTGGGAGGAAGGGGTGCGAGGTACAAATTACAGTTCATTTCTTGTTCCTCCAGAAAATCTGAAGTCTTGGTCATACTGGTTATTTAATGATGAGTTCAAACAAGCATTTAAAGAAAAGCTACACGCTTTCGAGAGATAACACTGGCCAATAACGATTACGCCAATGAAAGAAAGTAAAACATAAGGCCAACTTGCATTAACGCGCCGATTCCAAATTGGGACGTCAGAACCTGCCCAGCATCTAAGGGATTTTTAACAGATGTGGCGCTAGGCGCTAGGGGATGGCGAAGTGGGCGACCGCCCAATGCCCCACGTTTCTGGGGGTCCCACGCGTTGCCGTAGTATATTTATAATATAACTAAGCCTCCTAATAGTTCCTAATCCAGTCAACACAATATTCGGAAACTAAGCGAATGAACAAATATCCGTTATGACGCGTCCCATAACGTCAACGGCCCCGCAAATTTCAATTAGCCCAAGACCCCTCACCCTCCTAGTGCCGGTCATGGATTTTAAGTTATGAGTGCATTCAAGAAATATGATTAAAGCATTAATAAAATGGCGGGTTTTGAGTACGGCAGTATGCGCCTTATGCATATTACACGACAGGCAGAGCGCAAGGCACCCAAAGTATAATTCACCATATAGGTAGAGCGCAGTACTTCCTTCCTCACATTGTACTTTATTCAATTCAGGATGAAGGTAGCGTTATACATTAGTGGTTTGGGGAGTAAAAAATAAATAAACACACACACACACACTTATATATATATATGTATGGCATCTTTCCGTCTGCGGGAGACGATAGATTATCTTTATTGCTTGCAGCGCTTGGTGTGGCTGGTGAGACCAATACTCGAATGGCAGTCTCTGTTACATTTCCCACACACGAATGCGGTGGAGCAGTATTTACCGGCCTTCCTCCTCGCTCTTTTTGCAGCCGATCCTCGGCATGTAGTGATCCTGCCTTCACGATGCCCCGCCATGAGGATCGATCCTCTGCCAGCTCCTCCCAGTTTGAGATGTCGATGTTGGCCGACTTCATGTCTCTTTTGCATATGTCTAAGTATCTCAGACGAGGCCGTCCAACTGACCTTTTCCCTGTCGGCAGCTCGCTGTATAGCACTAATAGCACGTCCTTTGGTATGCAACCAGAATGCATTCGCTTGACGTGTCTGAGCCATATATATGTAGGCCTATTTGGCAGTTTATAGAACAAATTAAAGAAATATCACCCCGCTTTAGTAGTTTTTGAGCTATGACATTTTTTTAAAGTGAAAGAGCTGTAAAGAATACTAGATCTAAACTTATAGAAAAGTGTAAAGGTTTTATTTTCTAAAGACAGTCATTTTTTTTTTTACTTTTTCTTAACAAGCATATTATCAGATAGTTAACTTTTACTAGTACTAAGTAAGGGGAAATTAATCAACTAGTATCAAGTGACAAACATCTAAATTCACCTTAGCATCGTATGTAATTCATTTCTAGTAGACAAGAGCAAACACATATATAGTTTAAATCAGTTAATAATTTTTTTACTGAATTAAAGTTATCCCGGGATTTCCCGGGTTCCCAGTACTTCACAAAATCCTGGGATGAGATAGAATGTTGTCCCATTTTCCCGGGATAAGCAATATAAAAAACCCGGCAAGGGAGAAACCTTAGTAGTAATGACAAGGCCCAAAAGAACACTTAACCATTGGAAGCCACGTGGTATTAATTTGAAGTAATTACTTTTTTGACCCACTTCTACTAACTGCATTTTCTGAATGTTTTCACACGTGTGCTTCCGGAGACATCGGTGAGTCACGTTTCGGTATTGGACTTCAATACACTTTATAACCATCCCATCTACACACATTTCCTCCTACGTAAAACAACATTTCCCCCAAGGTACAATAACTTCCGCTCGTGTATAACAAATCCCTCCCCTGTTTAACAACGTCCTTCCTATTGGTCCTAATATTTAATATTTCTCCACACAAAAAAAACTATGTAATTATCATTCCTTAGAATCTGTATCCTTTGATTAGACATCAGTAGAGTAGCGTGACTAGAGAATTGCCCCTTGTGCAGTAGGAAAAAAAAAACGGAGACCTTATCTTATACGTTAATTGATAGAGGCTGGAAGTATATTGGCACTTAGACGTAAGAAGACGTAGATTGTTTGGATAGCACTTTTGAGGGGCCAGCATTTTAGCCCCAATCGATATACTAAATGTTGCTATGCATGATGTGTACTCTGCATGTAATGTGGTTTCCGTGAGTGAGGGGGGCAAATGTAAATAGTTTTAAATATACATGTGTTTTGTTTTATTTATTTAATGTATGCCAATTAATGTTTTAAGTTTATTTGATTATGTTTGTTAAATTGTGTGTACAGCGTGGTGTGCCCAGCCCTAGGCTGGGGTCCCACGCTATATTGAACCACTTATAATAATAATATGTCATGGACTGCTCGGGGCAGCATATGCCATGGACTTATCAGGGCATCACACTTTATTGCTATTGCACTGCCCGGGCGGATTAATATGTTTGTGGTTTTCTTCCTGATATAAAGATCCATTAAGATTTAACATTTATAGAATTTACGAAGAATCTAACATATGCACAACAATATATTGTGTTTTAAAAAGATCGTGGCGTATGAAGGTTTATGGAATGGAATTGGGGGGGGGGGAGGGTAAGTGTGCTCTGACGATTAATTGTGCAGAGTAAGGAAATTATAAATTGGTTTCGCCAGGAACAAAAGTGTTGACCCTAGCCATCGTCTTCACGTCAGAAACAAGATTGGATCCTGTGGTGTCTCTAGACGAAGACAACATTTGTTTAGAGCTCCTGTTTACATTGGTCTCGCGGTGCACACGTTGCAAGTTTAATAAGTAACACTAATAAACTAAATTTTATTTCGACCAGGTTATTTCTGGTCAACAACTTCAGTGTTCAGTGTTGTGTTTCTATGACCTCAGAAATCTACTTGTCCAGTTCTGATTGGTTGATTAAAACTGCGCCATTTAAACGCCTTCATTAATCACTAGACAGTCCACAGCAGTTAAAACAAACCACCATGAGGATTGTCAAAAATTTCCAAAACACGTCATAATTTATTTCCATTCACTCGAAAGGATTTCAACATTTATTATTTAATTTTTATTCAATTATTTAGTATTTGTATTTTATCGTGGTACTTGAAAATCGAAGGGAACAAGGGAAACAGGTCTTAGGTTACAGGTAAAATTAGTTTTATGTCTGAGAACCATTGACGACATATTTATGAATGCGCATGCGTAGTGAGGTATTCTTCGCCAAAAAGCATAAGATAGAGCTTCCATGTATTAACAATATCAGTGCCTTCTATCACATAAGACAAGAACGGCAACATCATTTTGTTGGAGAAGACTGCCTGGAGCCTTTCGTTGTAAGTATTCAATCTCCTATAATATATTATATATATATACATATATATATATATATATATATATGTGTGTGTGTGTGTGTGTGTGTGTGTGTGTGTGTGTGTACACGTTTGTATGTGTAGAAGTTTGCATACCTTATCATTTCTTAATGGGCCTTTTAATGATCATAATTAAAACTCTCAGAGTTATCTCTCTTAACTTATTGTCACAGACTCACAATGTCTAATCGTGTGTGCGGCAGAAATGTTTTGTGGTCGAAAATGTATAGCATGTGAATCGATATTAAACTTAAAAATATAGACATTTGTAAATCAACTCTCCTCAGCGGCGTCACCAAGCCATAGACATCGCTGACCTGATAACAAAAAGGGTATTGTTTGCATCTAGCATTTCTAGCATTTTAAATCTACCATACATTCAACATTTTTTTTTAAAATTTTCACAGAAAATGAAATTCAATCGCTTGTTCTACCTGGCTCTCTTGGGAGCTGTGATTCCTGTGCAGTCAACATTATCCAATAAAGGTATTAGAATGTATTCATTAAAACATAATCTTTTCTATATCTGATAGCTAATTCTTTTAAACCTCTTGATTTTTTTTTTTTTTTTTTTTTTTTTTTTTTTTTTTTTTCTTGATTTTTTTTTTTTTTTTTTTTTTTTTTTAATATTTTAAAATGACATAAACTTATAAACAAATTCTTCGCTTACTCCTCAGCTGTTTAACATTATAACTATATTGTTTGGTAAATAATACATTTTGGCTAAAAAACGTGTCTTCGTTTTTACAATAGGCTCCTGTTCTACTTAAGGTTTGAGTTTGTTTTTGTCATGGCTTTTTTTCCTTCCAATTAAATACTTAACTATTTTTCATCATTCTCAAGTAATACTTTGTAACTTTTTTTTTTTACAGTCACGAATCACACGGACATTGACAGCAAGGGGGAGATGAACATCACCGCTGATGAGCCAATCGGGAAGTACATCAAACCCCAACCGATCATTGGAATAGCCTCCGTTGCCCTTGCCAGTCTAAAGGCGATTGGAGCCTCGGTAACTTTATTCTGCACAAACAACCCAGAAATCTGTGCAGAATTAGGTTGGAGGATCATCGACGCTTTGACTCCGTCTACAGACGCGCCTGCTCCTCAAAACTCTGGAGCAGGCAGTGTTGTTGGCTGCCCAGTGTGGACCTTCGTCATCGGAGTCTGCCTTCTGCTTGCTCTCCATGGACTCTGCAAGAAAATTCTCCCTTGAGTGATCCAGAACATCACTAAATACAGATTGCTGAATGCTCCCAGACATCAGTACATACATACAGCTTCCTAAATACTCCCAGATGGCACAACACAAAAGACAGCTTCCTAAATGCTTGCAAACATCACATATATCTAAATAAAGCTTCCTGAATGTTCGCAGATATCATATCTCTAAATACAGCTTCCTGAATGCTCGCAGATATCACATCTCTAAATACAGCTTCCTGAATTCTCGCAGATATCACATCTCTAAATACAGCTTCCTGAATGCTCGCAGACATCAAATATATCTAAATACAGCTTCCTGAATGCTCGCAGATATCACATCTCTAAATACAGCTTCCTGAATGCTTGCAAATATCACATCTCTAAATGCAGCTTCCTGAATGCTTGCAGATATCACATCTCTAAATACAGCTACCTGAATGCTCGCAGATATCACATCTCTAAATACAGCTTCCTGAATGTTCGCAGATATCACATCTCTAAATACAGCTACCTGAATGTTCGCAGATATCATATCTCTAAATACAGCTTCCTGAATGCTCGCAGATATCACATCTCTAAATACAGCTTCCTAAATGCTCGCAGATATCACATCTCTAAATACAGCTTCCTGAATGTTCGCAGATATCACATCTCTAAATACAGCTACCTGAATGTTCGCAGATATCATATCTCTAAATACAGCTTCCTGAATTCTCGCAGATATCACATCTCTAAATACAGCTTCCCGAATGCTCGCAGATATCGCATCTCTAAATACAGCTTCCTGAATGCTCGCAGATATCACATCTCTAAATAAAGCTTCCTGAATGCTCGCAGATATCACATCTCTAAATACAGCTTCCTGAATGCTCGCAGATATCACATCTCTAAATAAAGCTTCCTAAATGCTCGCAGACATTTCATTTTTAAGCACAGTTTTAAAATGCCTTGCCTCAGTGACTTTTGTCTTATTTTAATAAACAGGCATTAGATTATATGTTGGTATTTTAAAAAACTGTCTTTCTGTTTAACCTGAAAGTTAAATGTTACACTTGCAGTTTTGTATGTGTTCATTGGGTGTTTATGTGTTTTTGTATCAACGTGGCGTATTTAATATTTTGTATTCAAGTACTGACTATATGATTATGCTGATTCTGTGCGTTTATGTTATGTTAGCGTTTATAGTGTTATAGTTATGTTGTATAAACTTGAAGTTTGAGTACATTATGGTTAAATAAGTGTCTATCAGTATACGTCTTCTAGTTGTGTTTGTGAGGCAAAGCTTAAAATTAGTTTCTTGTAAATGTTCAGATAATAAAAATTGCTTCCAATTCCACTCTTCTATGTGCATTTAGTTTGTTCCTTACGATGTCTGTAATATAATTTTGTCATTCTGGAAGAACCAACTGCAAAAGGTGCTCAAGTCACAATTTCGTCAAAATCAAATCAAACTAATCATTTATGGCCATTAATCTAGTTTGAGATGAGCATATTAAAAAAATATATGGATATAAGCGAGTAACCATGTTATTAAGTCCCTTTTCCGAGGAGATGATCTCACAACGACAACAAACAAACAAAAAGTTTGAATTTTCAAAATTGGCTATCTCACAACGGATGTTTTATGACTTAGGTACTTGTGACTTTGGTACTTGTGATTTATGTGCTTTTATAACCCGTGTCTTACTTTTTCAAAAGAACACAATATCTTTAAAGTTAATGTTTAGCTGGAAATGTATAAAATGCGGCAAAGTTTTTTTGGAAAATCTCGCAGAACAAAATTAATGTCACACACAAACACAAATGACAGATACACCGTTTTTGTAAAAGAGGGATACATAAGTCGACATATATATATATACATATACTTATACATCATATGCTTCTGGTGTGTCCTGCTTCCTTTTTGAAACCGTCCTTCCCCCAACTCCACGTGCTTCACATTAATAGAATTGAGTGAGAAGAAAGGGTGTCATGTGTGGCGTGTGAACTCATGGTAAAAATGTATTTAGGGGGGGGGGCGACTATTATATCAATCAAGAAAGAGCCACGGGTATGGTGTCTGGCATCCGTCCGTCACAATGTGACGATGGAGTGGGCTTCGGAGGACGAAATCCACATAGCCTGGGATTATACTTCAAGGATTATAAGCTGGTTATATCAATCAAGAAAGAGCCACGGGTATGGTGTCTGGCATCCGTCCGTCACAATGTGACGATGGAGTGGGCTTCGGAGGACGAAATCCACATAGCCTGGGATTATACTTCAAGGATTATAAGCTGGAGCCCAACAGCAACTCGCCTCTCTCCACGCCTCTGGGTAACCCAAGGGAACATCATTTGGATGATACAGCTTGGCATCAGTGACGTCGCAGGAGTTGCCGGAATGTTTCATTGTATCAATGTTATTGTTATCCGCCTTTCGGGACTCCAGCTCCGGGTTTGATTTCAGAGTTTCCTTCTCTTAGATAAGTTGCCATCCAAGGTTAATGAGTCTCATCTACCCGGGGTGCTGGTGGTGTTATATCTTGACTGGACTGGGCTCTGGCTGGAATTGAACTCCAGACCACCAACTTGAGATTTGTTCAGTTTAGACCATTTGGCCACCCAGCACCCACGGGTATGGTGTAGGACTGTCTGAAGGACTTTCTCTGTAGGACTCTCGGTAGGACTAATATTTAAAGGCCGGCAGGCAGGGTGTAGGATTGTCTGTAGGGCTATTTCTCAAAATACCCGAACTCAGTGTAAAAAAACAACAACTGCACCCGGTTAAACACCAGTTTTGAAAATAATCTTACAACTGAAATAATAAACCACATTTAATCCTGTAAGGCAGACTCCTATGTCACTTAGCCGTCCTCACATAATGTTGCCCACTGTGTAAGTACACCTAACATGGTAATGATAAAATTCAAGCAAGGGCAATACGTTGTGTGCACTTCCAGCTTCCAATAAACCTATTTAAACAGATACACAATTAAACAAGCAGTTTCTAATGACATGTAGTCTGTGGGACAGGGGTGTAGGATGGGTGGAGAGGGCATTTCGACCTTGGTGGCATTTTTTTGCCTCTCTCTTTATTTAGAGGCGGTCGTTTTCGACCAACTGATCCATTGTTTTTCTTGGCAAGGGGGCGGAAAAACCTTCGTTCACTCCCGGCAGCAAATGCGTGGCCAGCTCCGGCAGGCATCCTCCCAAGCTACTCCATCCACCACTCCGGGATATGGGAAATGGATTAAAATTTTCAAAGTGCGTGCGGGGGTTGGGGGGGGGTGGTGTCAGGAAAAAAACAGGAATTTTTTAAACCTTAAACCGCCTTTGTTTGTTATTTCGGTACTAATACATTTCTTATTTAGTGCAAGTTTTAACTTTAATTATATATGTGCTTGTGTAACTTAAGATATTAAAAAAAAAGGCAGAAAACTTGAAATTCAATCTTCTTTCTGGTGCATATAACACCCCTTACACACACACTATGTGGTTGGGGGGGGAGGGTTGGGATTGTAATGATACAAGTTAGTCACAATCAACGAAAAGCTACAGTGGACTACAGTGTGCCGTAATTATTCGATTCGCAAAATGTTTTATTTGTTTTTCTTCGGGTTATTGAATTGTTTTATAATGTTTTATGTTAATTTTTTTTAAAGGTCCAATAGAATAGTCAAATTTAAAAAAAAAGACGGCTCTGCAAAAAATTTACTTTGTAATAGTTCACGAATTCTTTCACGACCACTTACGGCTAAGAGAAAATAATGCCCAACTATGAATACTTCTTCCTTTAATGGGAACAACACAACATGTCTTCTTTTTCCCTTAATTGGAAAACGTGATGGCTGGAGCTATGCACAGTGGACAAAGGCATATAGTGGTTGCTGGAACTATGCACAGTGGACAGAGGCATATAGTGGTGGCTGGAGCCATGGGCGCCCGCAGAAAACTTTCTAGAGGGTTGGTTAGAAAAATTCGATTAACTTTCCAGGGGGGGTAAAAAATTGTTAGTAATGTTTTAATATAGTTTTAATTTACTGTAGCGTATTTGTATGGTGAACGAACGGACAGGACATCAGCTTAGTTACTTTCTCTTTATTTTCTCTTTACTTTCATACAATTTTTGTCTAAAAATTTTTTATCCAATCAATCCAGGGGGGGGGGGGGCAAGTTCCCCACCTTGCCACTACGTGCGGGTGCCCATGGCTGGAGCTATGCACAGAGGACAAAAGCATATAGTGTTGGCTGGAGTTATGCACAGTTGATAAAGTCATATACACATTCAAGATCCGAGAGTTTATTTGCATATTTGAATTGCAATATATGACAACAATAAAGGAGGTTAACATTTTTAGAAATGTGACGGTTTCAACATTACCAGCCCCTCCCCTCACCCCCTTGAAGCTTAAAAACGTGTCTTATAACGCAGAACAGTGGCGTAACTACGAGCAGGGGGGGGGGCAGAGGCCGAGACAACTGATTAAATAAGTCGGGGCCCGGTCCGACTGGTATAAATTTTGTTAGTTCGATTACGGTTGATAAAATTATTTTAAAATTTGATAAAGCTTTCTGTTTGGATTTGCCTATGGTCAAAAATCATGTGCACGCCTCGACCACCAGTGGTGATTGACAAAACAACACCCCCCTCCCCCTGGATCTAAAACCATTTTCAAATAATTGAATATGAAGATGCAATAGTTCTTAGGCCTACATTTCTGTAGATAACAATTATATTTTTAGAACTCATTGCTAGTAATGTATTCTAACGGCCTAAAATCATTTTACAAACATATATGTATAAGAGCAAGGACTGTATTAATTTCCTTACAACAACAACGAAGCTCGTACAATGTGTTGTCACGTTGTTGCACAGTTTGCTAGGATTTTGTCACATTTATATTTAGTTATAAGTTATAAATAATACCCGAGACGATGCTGTTCAAACTAATTATACCAATTTTAATACCGAGATTCACAATATCCGCAATAATAAATATATTTCACGGAAATATTAAAATACTTCGAATAACATCACATACATTTCAACTTCTATTACACTCCCATAAAAATAATCTTATTTTATTTGAAAATGTTATTAACGAAATCTTGATGCACAATCAACGGTCTCTGTTCACTTTTCAACATTGTTCGTATTTTTTATATATATATATATATATATTTAAAATTTTAATCATTCAATCATACACCTTGATTGGCCAGTTCCACTCAAGTCCTAAAACTCAGTATATTATACAAGAACTATTAAGTATATTACTTATCTCCCCTTAGTGGATCACATATTCATAATGATATCCGTGCACGTGTCAGTTTTAATCCACAAAAATACTGCATGCTGTTGGTTCAATGATTAAGAATTGTTTATGCGTTTTCATCAAACCAATTACAATAAAACCTTAAGTAATATACAACTAAGGTAACTTATCTGTTGTATTCTACTCTATGATAAAACGCAATGAGATTTAGAATAAAATAATAAACTTGTTTTGTCTCATACTCATATCTTTCATTTTTATTAAAGGTATTTTGTAATTGATTGAAATGTAAAATAAAATGGCCTAGTCAAGCAATGTGGAATTACATAAATTTTCAATGATGGACATTAGGACAATAGCAAATTAAGACATTGAGATATTATGACATTTGTAAGGTTTAATTTAATTAGACATAAATATATTCTAACAAATGATTAAGGCGCACATTATATTTTTTACATTTATTCAGTAGCGTTTCTGAGGATAAAGGGGCTAGCACCCCACTGTGCGTTTGTGAGAGGTCGGCGCCATCTTGGAAGTTCGTCCCAAGGGGGAGGGGGGATTTATTCAAAGTATGCCACTGCATATTTGCATACATTATAAATGAATGAAATTAAAATTGCACACATGTTTATAATGAACTAATCTTTCTTAACAATTATAAAATTTAATTATTTCAGGTCGTTTTAAAGTTAAATACGATTACATTTTGACTTTATTCCCAACATTATAAATAAATAACACCGGTGCGTTTGTAGGAGGTGGAAAAATTTTGGGGGAGTTCGTCTCGGGTGGAATTTATTCAAGATACGCCACTGCATATATGCGGTCAGTTGAAATGTGCGTGAAGTTAATATTAAACACATGTTTGTAGTGCAAGCATTTACTACCCATGGAATACTCTTCATAAAAAGGCATGCTAAAATGAAACACGAATCACCAAATCCTATTCTTTTCTACTCGTGATCTTAACACAAGTTGCCATCAACACTAAAATATTGGGCTTTCACTTTCAATTGACGAAAAATCTTAAGTGTGTGTGTGTGTTTCTCCGTAGTGTCCCCCCAACCCCCCCC